CGGCGGGGGGATCGTGCCCGGTCGGCAGGGGGGTGCAGTGCCCGGCGGGGGTACCTGGTTGCGGGGAAACGCCCAGCCGCACACGGCGCACTCCCAGTTGAGCAGGCGTTTGATGAAGTCGCGGTCGGGGGAGGCCCGCACGGCGTCCACGATGTCGGCCAAGGCCGCCGGCCTCCCCCGGTTCTCCACCACCTCCTGCTCCCGCACCAGTGACAGAACCAGTTCCGCCCGCCCCCAGCTGGGCAGCGCCAGCGAGGCCAGCAGCCGCCGCAGCAGCGCCTGGGGGGAGAGGGTGTCAGCACCCCTGGGTCCCCCCATACCCCACAGTTCTCCCCGCCCGCATCCCCCATGGCCCCCTGGTTCCCTCCCCGCCGCACATCCCCCATGGCCCCCCCATGCTCCCTGGTTCCCCCCCTTGCTCCCACCCCCAGACTTTCCCCAGATCCCCCCAGCCCCCCGATCTCCCCACCCCCGGCTCTGACCTGCCGGTCGGGCGTGTGGAAGTCAATCTCGGGCTCGGCCGGCTCCCACATGCGCCGGTGGAATGGCTCCAGCTGGAGGCGCTGCAGCTCCGTCAGGGCCCCCCACAGGTCGCCCCCGTTCTGGTAGAGCGCCTGCAGCACTGGCCCCCGCTCTCCGAACCCCAGCGCCGCCAGCTCCCGCACCTGCAGGGGGGAGAGATGGGACCCCCGACACTCCCAGGCCCCTCCCCTCCAAACCCCGCCCCTCCCCACAAGCCCCACCCTGCCCCCCCCCATAAGCCCCTCCCAGGCCCTACCCCACTCCATAAGCCCCGCCCCTCCCCACAAGCCGCACAGCTCCCAGGCCCCGCCCCTCAAGCCCTCCCCTTCCCCTGCCTCAGAACCCTTTACCCCTCCTAGTCCCCACCCTTCACCTCCTCAGGTCCTGCTCCTCCCCTATAAGCCCTTCCCTGCCCCACAAGCCCTGCCTCTCCCCTCCCATCCAAGCCCCACCCCACCCCTCCCCAGGCCCCACCCTGCCCCACAAGCTCTGCCCCTCCACTCCCATCCAAGCCCCTCCCCCCACAATTCCCGCCCCTTGGCCCTGCCCCCACCTTGCTGCGCCGGGCGCTCAGGCAGCGGCTCACGGCCTCGTCCAGATCGCCCTGGCTCTGGGTCCAGGCGGCGCGAGCCTCCTGCTGGGTGATGGCGCCCAGCTCGGCGCCTGCCCCCTGCTCCGTGGCCTGTTCCACCACCGCGTCCAGCACCGCGGGCAGCTCCGAGCGCAGCCAGGGCAGGGGCAGCTCTGTCCCTGAGTACCGCAGTGCCGCCCCCACTTCCTCTGGGGGCACGCCTGCCAGCTCCGCCTCCTGGGGAGAGGCCAGGGTTAGAGAGAGTTCCGCCTCCTCTTCAGGGAGAGGGCGGGGTTAAAGGGAGCCCCACCTCCTCTTCTGGGAGAGGGCAGGGTTAAAGGGAGCCCCACCTCCTCTTCTGGGAGAGGGCGGGGTTAGAGAGAGCCCCACCTACTGGGGGAGGGTGGGGTTAGAGAGAGCTCCGCCTCCTCTTCTGGGAGAGGGCAGGGTTAGGAGTTATCCTGCTGGCTCCGTCCCAATGATGGAAAGGAAAGAGTCTGGTTGGCCTGTGCAGAGGAGGGGAGGGGCCTGCATGGGAGACGGGTACAGGAGGGGGAGGAGCTTCAAGGGAATTCAGGAAGCGGGTAGGGTCTACAGATGTTTTTCAAGGACAGGGGGAGGGGCCTCTGGAAAGTGGGAGGAGCCTCTTACCCGGATCATGGCCACCAGCTTCATCCCGTCCTCTCGCAGCTTCTCCTGCCGCCGACGCTCCACCTCCTCTGGTGAGAGGGGGTGGGGCTTGCCCGGACGCCGGGGTCCCTTCTCTTCCTGGGTGGGGCCCCCAAGCTGGCTGGTCCTGTTGCAAACCTCACACACCCGCCCAGGCAGCTGGTTCCAGAAGGTGCAGTGTTCACACTTCCAGCCTGGGGCCCCCTTGGCCTGCAGGGAGCGAGGGGTTAACGGAGGGCGGGAGTGAGGGGCACTGGGGGGAGGCCGGGCCCAGCAGGGGCTGCGGGTCAGGAGTGAGGGGTGCCCTCCCCTTACCTGCATGGGCACCGGGGGGCCATCCGGGGGATGCTGGGGGTCGGGGGCGCCGGGCCGGCCGGCCAGCCGAGGGCGCTCACACACGGCGCACAGCACGGTGGGGCCAGGGTTAAGGAAGGTGCAAGTCTGGCAGGCCCAGCCCCCCCGGAGGGGGTCCCCATCGGGTGGGGGGTTGGGGGGTGTGGGGCAGCCCCGGGGCCGGTCACACCCCACGCACAGCACGGCCCGTGCCTCGTTGGGGGCACGGCAGGCGGCACAGCGCCAGGGCAGGCGCGGCTTCGGGGGCAGGGCCGGGCGGCCGACCGGGGGCTCCGATGGCACCATGGACAGGCTGGGGGAGAGAGAAGGGGGTGAGAGAGACGGGCGGGGCCCCCCAAATCCCCACAGACCTCCCCATGCCCCCACCCTGCGCCCCAGATCTCCATAGCTCCTCCAGTCCTGCACCCCAATCCTCACAGCTCCCCACAGCCCCACCCTGCACCCCCAAATCCCCACTCCTCCCCACACCCCCACCCTGCACCCCGAGCTCCCATCCTGCCCTCCAAATCCCCATAGTCCCCCATGCCCCCACCCTGCACCCCAGATCCCCATAGCTCGCCCATTCCTGCACCCCATCCTCACAGCCCCCCACTGCCCCCACCCTGCACCTCCAAATCCCCACTCCTCCCCACATCCCCACCCTGCGCCCCCCAGAGCCCCCATCCTGCCCCCAAATCCCCAGAGCCCCCCACGCCCCCACCCTGCCCCCAAATCCTCACAGCCCCCCTCACCCCATCCTGCACCCCAGATCCTCACAGCCCCCCATTCCTGCACCCCCATCTTCACAGCCCCCCACTGCCCCCACCCTGCACCCCCAATCCCCACACCCCCACCCTGCACCCCCAGAGCCCCCATCCTGCCCCTCAAATCCCCACAGACCTCCCCACGCCCCCACCCTGCGCCCCAGATCCCCACAGCTCCCCCATTCCTGCACCCCAATCCTCACAGCCCCCCACTCTGCCCCCCAGAGCCCCCATCCTGCCCCCAAATCCCCACAGCCCCCCCCACCCTGCACCCCCAGAGCCCCCATCCTGCCCCCAAATCCCCACTCCTCCCCACACCCCCACCCTGCACCCCCATATTCCCACAGAACCCCACACCCCAATACATCCCCTTCACCCCCAAATTCCCTCTCAGGCCCCTACATCCCCTGTGACCCCCCTCCCCTCCCCACGCCCCATGCCCCGCCCCCTTGTGAGCCCCCCTCCCCTCCCCCACCTCTGCTCCCCCCTGGCCCGGCCCAAACAGGGACCCATAATGCTCTGGGGCAACTGTCGCCCTCTCCTGGCAACCGAATGGAACGTCCCAGAATCCTCTGGGGTTTTAAAGGGCCAGGAGCCCTGGAAATGGGATTGGGGGGTCGGGGGTCACAACAGTCTGGGGGTCCCCAATACCTGGGGGTGGGGGACCAGGCAGGGGCTTTCCAAAACCTGGGCCGGGGTGATTGAGAGGCCAGGCAGGGGGACCCCAACACGTGGGGAAGGGGGGATTGGGGTCAGGCAGAGGATCCCCAATACATAGAGGTAGGGGATCAGGCAGGGGGACCCCAACACCTGGGGGAAGGGGGGATTGGGGCCAGGCAGGGGGTCCCCCAAACCAGGGGGCCTGTTGTCCGAATGGAGCCGTACTCCGCGAGCGAGCGGGTTCCCCTCACTGACTTGCCGTGTTGGGGTGCGGGCAGCTGGGTGGTGCCCCTGAGAGCCAGGTCCCCCCCGTGACGCACCTGTTGGCCCCCAAGAATTTGGGCTTTTATTTAAAAAACCCAGCGCGGAAAACTGCTGCCCATGTTCGAGCCACCAATTCGGGGTGGGGGGGCATTTTCTTCATTTTAGTCATTAATATTAAAGCCTGGGTTTTAGAATGTACATTTTTCATTTTTATTTTCAATTGAATCTTTTCTGGTATTGAATTTTGAATCAAATTTGTTCACTTGGCGTTTTATTTGCCAGTAAATTTGCGTTTCGTTTTTTATTTCACCCGCTGTTATTTTTCACGGTCATTCGTGTATTTGATAATTGTCTCTCTTAACGAGAGAGAAAAGCAGGAAAATCAGCGAACGTGTTGGAAATGGAAAACTTCCCTTTGATTAGCTGCTGGGATCTGTTTTGCATCAGACGCACGTCGCTTTATGGCAAAGCTGTTATGAAACAGTTGTCAAAAATCGACAGCTTTTATTTTGATTTGAAATTGAATTTTTAATTTCACTTGATTTCTTTTTGAATTGCAATTCACCTGATCTCGTGGGGGGTTTGTTACTAAACAAAGAAGAAAAAACATCGAAAGCGTCTGAAATGTCCTGCTTTAGGTCCAGCTTTCACTGATTTGGGGGCATTTTCCTTAGTATTGGAGCAAAGACGTGATTTTTATTTTTAGTTTCCATTTATTTAATTTTTTATTCCCTCGGATTTCAGTTTGACTGTAATTTGTTTATTTTGCAGTCTGGGTGTTAAAGAGAAAAGAAATCGCATTCGGAACGTAAAGTTTAATGAGCCAGTTCATTTGAATCACCGTTTCGGCTCAGGAATCACCAGAATTACGGCCAGTTCAGTAGGAAACTTTTTTTTTTTTTTTTAAACATTTCTTTATTTTTATTTCAAATGTAATTTTCAATTCATTTGTAATCATAATTCATGTATTGCCTGGGGGTAGAATAGGGTTCAGGAGGTACCCAAGTCCTGGGGGGGATCAGGGGGTCCCCATTATCGGGGGCTCAGGGGGTCACAGAGGGGGCCCATTCTATGGGGGCAGAACAGGGTTCAGGGGGTCCTTGTATCCTGGGGGGCTCAGGGTGGGGGTCTCCAATACCTGGGGGCAGGGTGGCTCAGGGGGATCCCCGTTACCTCTGTGCAGGGGGCCCAGCCCCCAAGCCCAGCTCCCCCACGGACAGGCGCCGGTGCTGGGCTCGGGCTGGGTGCTTGTGGAAGAGACGGTCGCATTCGGGGCAGAGACTCTGGTTGCATTCGGGGCAGAGCAGGGACGCTGGCTCCAGCCCACACAGCAGGCAGGTGGCCAGGGGGGCCGGCCCTGGGGGGTGGGAGAGAGGGATCACCCCACAGCCCGGCCCCCCATGTCCTCCAGCCAGTGGTCCCCCGCTCCCAGTCCTCACTGCCCTGCCCCACAGCCAGAACCCCCTCTGTGCCTCACAGCGCCCCCACTCCCCAGCCCCACAGTGCCCCCGCACTCTCCCCACAGCATCCCCCAGACGGTGCTCCTCTGCTCCCACTCCCCACCGCCCTGTCCCACAGCATCCCCCACGACCAGAGCCACCTCCATGCCCCACAGCACCCCCACTCCCCAGCCCCATGGCTCCCTCCGTGCTCTCCTCACAGACAGAGCTCCCTGTGCCCCACTCCCCATGGCGCCCCGTGGCACGTACCCGTCTGGGGCAGGGCTCCGGGGGGCGCCGTGTCGTGGACGGGCACCGAGTCCGGGATGAGGGTCACCTGGAAGAGATGAAGGGGTGACAGGCCCAGCCGAACCCCTCGATCCACCCGACCCCCCAGCCCTACGCCTCATCCCAGCCCTGCCTCTCCCAACCCTGCCCCTGCCCCCCACCCCCCAGTTTCCCCCAGACCCCCTCCCACTTGCCCCTCCTCACCTCCTGCCCCCCCTGCAGCATTCCCTGCAGGATATCGGGGTTCGGGTGATTGTTCTGAAATGGAAACGACACAATGAGACTCAGCACCCGCCCTGCTCCCAGCCCCACCCCGCTCCCTGCCCCACAGGACCTCCTGCTCAACCCCCGCCCTGCCGCACAGCAACTCCTGCTCAGCCCCCGCCCTGCCCCC